CAGGAAAGAAAAAGCTGTTCCATGACCCTCAAGGCTGGGAATGATGCACTAATAATCCACTTTCCATAGCTGCTCCTGCCCTGGTTTGCTCAGAGTGCCTCAGAGATAATTCTGGGGAGCTGTCATAAATTGTCTAAGGTCATACTCCAGGCTTCTCATTCCTGGACTAGGACTGGCTAGGGTCCCAGAATGGAAGGCAGTTTCTCAACATCTTGCTGTCTTAAGGGAGAGATATGGCAATACACTCCCTTTTGAGGTGAACACTATGCCAACTGAAGCCTCCCTGGGAGGCTGGGAACATGCAAGGAAACAGCCCCAAGTCTCCACATCCCAGTCAACCCTCCTTATCTGGAAAGATGTTGGAATGGGGAGGGGAGATTCGAGCAATTTTCTGCCAGAATGAGAGAATTAGAAAGCTGTGAAAACATCATATCCCAACCTTCTTTTCTCTCACTGTAGTGTAGAGCACTACCTAGGTTAGGATTTGGGAGACCTGAGGCTCCAGGCTCCATTTCAGAGTTATGGTCAAGTCATAATATCACTGTGCCTCCATTTTCTTCATCTACAAAATGGGACTATATTGCTTGCTTTCCCTGAAGAGCTTTTGAAGATCATATGACAATGCTTTGGAAACTTAAAGCACTATATAGAGCATAAACATTCATCGAAATACATAAGAAAAAAGATACTCCACATACTGCAGAGAAATAACTCAGGCTTCAGAGCTGGGTACATCAGGGTCATAGCCTTGACTCCAATTCTTGCTACCTATCTGACCATGGACAATTTATTAACTTTCTGAGGCTCAGATTGCCCAACTGTAAAATTGGTATACACTCAAGTAGTTATTGTAAATACATGGTAAGCCATGTGTTATGGACTGAATTGTGTCCCCCCAAAATTCATACATTGAAGACCTAACTCCCAGGATGACTGTATTTGGTGATAGGGCCTTTAAGGAGGTAATTAATGTTAAATGAGGTCATAAGGGTGGGGCCCTCATTGATAGGACTGGTGTCCTTATAAGAAGAGGAAGAGACACCAGGAGTGCACACGCTCAGAGGAAAGGACATGTGAGGACACAGCGAGAAGACAGCCCTCTGCAAGCCAAGGAGACATGGCTCAGTAGAAACCAACTCTACAATTTCTGTAGAAACCAACTCTACCAATCTCTGATTTCCAGCCTCCAGAATGGTGAGAAAATAAATTTCTAAGTCCCCAGTCTGTGGCATTTTGATATGGCAGCCAGAGCAGACTAACACAACATGTAAGGTACTTAGCACAGAAATAAGCACATGATCAGGTGCACAACAAATCTAACTTTCTTTCTCTTAGAAACAAGATTATACTATTGTCCCAACGGCTTGTCAAGGTTATTTATCTAGGCCTGGTGATGGGTTTGTGCTAATCCAGTCATATTCTCTCCTGGTCGCCCTCATGATCAGTGGTATATATTTGTAATATTTCCAGCCAAGGATAAAACAAAGCAGTTACCATATTGCATCAACTCATGATTCATCGTGCTCATCGTTCTGCCTCTGTCAGAGGCACCAAGGGACAGACAGGTTGTGAAGAGGTAAAATTGTCCTTGACATCAATTCCAAAACACACTAGTTCCTCCACTTTGGTGCTCACCCTTGAATATCCCTAATTTTTTATCTGCTATATTTTCTGTATCTCTGTAGGTACTTCATTAGTTTACTACCCATGGAGCAAGTGTACTTCTGATAATTTTTCTCCTAATCTCATTCCGATTTCAAGGAGTGTCTCTTAGTTCTACTATCTGTGATTTGGCAGGTTCAAATCTGTGACCACCCTAATTTTTGTAGCTTCCTTCTTCTGGAACTTCTCTAGGTTGTTCTTTCTCCTTGGATCCAAACCACCAAAGCTGCACTTGCTGGTGAAATTTTCCTATGATTTGTACAAGGGCAGAAAAATACTAGTGTCTTGTTTTGTCTCCACTGCCCTTCCTAATCAATCCCATCATTTGGGTTAACTCAAAGTACATAGCTGGATTGGGCAGGGGGAGAGTGAAATGTGGGAGAGGGGCTTCTCTCCACACCCTGCTGGAGCCAAATGCCAGAGACAGTGACTATGCACCTCAAGTCCCCTCCACCACCTGCAGCCAAGAACTCAGAGCCGTGGGCTCGGCCCGGGAAAGACACAACAAGCCGAAGACCAGACCTTCAAGACAAATAGAACAAGTCCTGGAAAGCTTAGCGGAAGTGCGTCACAGCACCGCCCCTCCCCCGAAGCTCCACCCCCTCCGTGTTCTCTAGGAATCCGGGAGGTCTCGCTGTCTCAGTGGTTCCCTGAGCCTTCCTAAATCGAGGAGAATTTAACCTCCTTCCTCAGTCAGGGGAAAAGACAAAGGTTTAGAAGCAGCTCCTGACCAAGGAGATAGAAATAACGGACTGATGGGGAATCTAGCCTCCTGGGTGGAATGTGCAGGTCACAAGTTTTGAGAACTAGCACATGGTGTTTCTAACTGTTCCTTCTGCAAGGAAAGAACCCAAGCTAATGACTGGATCACACTCAGATGGCTCCCATGCTTTTGTAAAAACAACAAAAATTTTTGATAGAATCAACCACAGGCTTCTCCCTGCCCCAGTAGTGTAGCAAATATCTCTATCGAATTCAACCAGCATGCTCCATGCACCCATTTACTGATGTAATTGGAATGCAGATTCTACTGTTCTGTTCCTTTTTTGCTTTTATTCCTTTCCAACATTTTGATGTTAAAAAGAATATGTAGCGTCTTGAGAAAACAAATCTTGCTCTAACTTGCCCAAACTTGAGCAAACAAAATATGACCCTAATATTTTGTTTCCCTTTCCTCTTGCAGGTTGAGAAGGGAAGGCTACGATGGATGTGGTGACTGAAGGGCAGCAAAAAACTTTTCAGTCAAATGTTCAAATCATAAAATTGTCTTAATTTTTTTCCTGCAACTAGGAGCAATGAGAGAAAGACGTTAATACTACAGATCAATGTAGTTTTCAGCAGAGAAAGAAGCTTCTGGCAATCAGAGCTGTTTTAAAATAGAAGAGACTGGGGCTGGCCCGGTGGTGTAGTGGCTAACTGCACACGCTCCGCTTCGGCAGCCTGGGGTTCGTGGGTTCAGATCCTGGGTACGGACTTACACGCTGCATCAAGCCATGTTGTGGCAGCGTCCCAAATACAAAGTAGAGGAAGATTGGCACAGATGTTAGTTCAGGGCCAATCTTCCTCACCAAAAAAAAAAAAGGGGGGGGGGGAAGAGGCTGCCTTCAGAGGCAATGAACTCCCCATCACTGGAAGACCCTCATGCAGAAACTGGATAATCTGTTGCCAGGAAATGTCTTCTCTAGTTCAACACAGTTATTAAGCATTTGTTACAGGCACGTGCCTACAAGTTGAATGGGGACTCCTCCAACCGGTGGGAGGTTGGGTTTGATGATCCCATGGGACCCGTTACAATTCTAAGATTCTCTAATTGTATGATTTTATCACATCTTGGATCAAAACTGTTGTTTTTTGTTTTTTGTGAGGAGATCAGCCCTATGCTAACATCTGCCAATCCTCTTCTTTTTGTTGCTGAGGAAGACTGGCCCTGGGCTAACATCCGTGCCCATCTTCCTCCACTTTATATGGGACGCCGCCACAGCATGGCTTGCCAAGCAGTGTGTCGGTACATGCCCGGGATCCAAACTGGCGAACCGCAGGCCGCCACAGCGGAGCACGCACACTTAACCACTTGCGCCACCGGGCCAGCCCCAAAACTGTTTTTCACACAGATGACAAGAACATAATTTCACCACTTTGTAATGCTTGCTGTTTAATAACATAAGGCATAGTATTAAGAGCTCAGCTTTTGGAGGCAAAATGATCTAGGTTCAAATGCTGGTTCTGCCACATATTGGCTGTGTGACTTTGGGCAAATGAATGAACTAATCTGAACCTGTTTTTCCCAACTGTAAAATAAGGGTGCTATTAAGTGCAAATATGAGCAAGTAGTCATCATGTTGTGAGGATTAAGTGAGAAGGTCTACCTAAAGTGCTTAGCATGATGTTTAGAACATGGTAAATGCTCAATAAACATTAACACCAGGCTTTATTGACATCATTCTCAATTAAGTCTTACATCTGACCTTTAGCTCTGTGATTCTGTTTGCAGGAGACAACAGTCTCCTTAAATGCCATCAAGGAGGCCCTCTCACACACTTTGCATTAAGTTGGTGGTTATTTGTCACGAGTGTGTCATTTTTCTCTCTTCAAGAAATTGGTGGCTTTCAGCAAGAGCCACCTATTTCCATAATCCTTATATAATTTTCATTTTTCTCCCCAAACCTTACCCAAGTCAGTATACCCCTTTCCACACGTATCCCATCCCAATTCACCACAGTGAATGTCTCACAACTGAACAGCCACCACATGCCAGGGAATACAGATACTCCGCCCACCATCAGTGACCGGGTCCCCATTGCCTCATGGAGAGTGGCCAACTCCACAGTCCATTCTTACAGTCAGCCTCCTAGGACCACTCATGGCACCAAATGTCTTAGATTGGGTTCCCTAAAGCAGAGCCTGAGACAGGAATTCAAAGCCATGTGACTTGTTGAGGCATGCTCTTTAGGAAAAGTCATTGTGGGAGGGAATGAATCAGGACAGAGAAGGGCAGAGCCAAACACAGATGTAGTCTGGTCAAGTCTAGCCCTGGCCTCATTCACAAAGGGGGGGGGGGTTGGTTCTGGAGCATAAACTGAACGTTTCCCCCCACTTGAGGTGAGTGAATCAGCCTTCTGTACCCCATGCCAATCAGTCATTGGCTGGGGGGTGGGGACGGCAGGTAACTCCTGGGTGAGGCAGCTCCCATCACCTGAGGGCAATTCTCCAGAGTCTCTGGAGAAGAGGGACAGCTGCAAGCTCTTAGCAGCCAAAACTCAGAGCAGCTGGGGGAAGGGTGGGCCAGCAGGGCAACAGGGATCTGGGCAGGACACCAGCGTACAACAGACACAAACAAAAAGTATTTATTGGGCGTTTATTGTAAGCCAGGCAGTCAACAGAAGCAGGACTTCAGCAGAGCCCAGAAGCACTCTCTCCCTCTCTCTAACACATCAAGTTAACCCTCTTTTCCATGTCATCTTTCTCCCACAACTCCTACCCAGACCTTCCCACAAGGTAGGGCTAACCAGGCCATGTCCTCCCCGCTCCAAATTACCGTTTACTTTCAAATCTAGCTGCAACTCAAATTGAAACTCATTCTATCTGCCATTATCCTAGGGGACAGCCCTCTCTCCGGGCACTCGGAATTGGGACACACACTGCTTGGACCACAATTCTTAATTCAACTTAGTCCAATTCCTTCTCTGGATGCAGCTGCCTTCATTCTTGTGGGTCCACAGTGGTTTGGACTGTTTTCTCTTCTCTGTTCCCCTAAGGTCCCTCTCCCCTCAACTCAAGATGCGACTGACCAACACAGCTTCTTCTCCACTTACAATCTTAACTCCTCTTTCTACTAGCTAACCTTGATGCTAGAATCAAAACAGAACAAAAAGGCAGAGAGGGTTCCATGGAGAAGTTGTAAATCGAATAAGGCAGCAGGAATGCATACCATCCAGCCTCCGGATCCCAATTTTGCCAAAATATAAATACCTTAAGTCCATTGCTTTTCAAAGGGTTTAATACTCCAGATGGGAACAATGACTGAAGTATTCTAGTGGCTGGGGTAATCATTTCTAGAAAAGGCTCATTGCTGAGGTACCAAAACAGATATCATGCCAAAGAGCGCTTTCTCTTTCTGTGTGCTCTTCCCTGACTAGATAAGCTGTCAAACAAGGCAGAAACCACAAACAAAGCTTATTTCTACTGCATTCATGAGGCTTTTCCCAGTGTCAATGTTCTGAAATTCAGATGAAGAACGAGTGCCATCTGAAGGCTTTCCTTCACCCTCCATATCCGCAGGTTCTCCTTTGTCTAAAATCTCAAGTATGAAGATGCTAATGAAAGCATTTCTTGACGGGAAAAGCAAATAGATACCTATTTATTGTGCATTCTCCAGTGTTCCTAAGTTCTAACTGAAGATTTCAACATATCTGTAGGTTTGATGGTTAAGTTGGAGAAATGCCTGAAGTTGTTATTACATTCATTACAGGAGTAGGGTTTCTCTTCAGGAACGTTTCTCTAAAACTGCGGAAGAGCTGTCCTACAATAGAAACATCTATACATTTAAGGTATTTATGGGATCTGTCCTCTCATGACTTCTCAGATGTTTAAAGAGGCTACAACTCCAACTGAAACTCATCCCACATTCTTTACACTGAAAGGGTTTCTCGCCAGTATGGATTCTCTGATGTTGATTAAGATGTGACTTCAGAGTGAAGCCTCGGCCACACTCATTACACTGATGGGACTTCACGTTGGAATAGGTTTTTTGATGTTGTTTTAGGTGGGAACACTGGCCAACATTTTCTCTACATACATCACATTTACGGGTTTTCTCTGCAGTATGAGTTCTGTAATGCTGAATAAGGTCTGAACTGTAACTAAAGGCTTTGCCACATATATCACACTTATAAGGCTGCTCTTGTAACTCAATCTTCTTATCTTCAATCACTGTTAAGTTCCAACTATATGCCTCCTCACAAATGCCATTTTTTTCATTTCTCTGACCCATGTGGAGCACCTGATGTTCAATTAGGCTAACATACTGAAAAAAGATTTCTCCACATTCATGGCACTGATGGGATTTCTCTCTAGAGTGGAGTCTCAGATGCCCGGCCAGGTGTGAACGCCTCCCAAAGCCTTTCCCACACTCGTTACACTTAAAGGGTCTCTCCCCACTGTGCACACTCTGATGCTGAACAAGATGGGACCTCACTCTAAACGCTTTCCCACATAAATGACAGGTATAGGGTTTTTCACCAGTGTGGACTCGCTGATGTTGAGTTAGGTGCACACGTTGATTGTAGCTTTTCCCACATTCATCACACTTAAAGGGTTTCTCCCCAGTGTGTATTCGCTGATGTTGAATAAGATGTGCACTCTGAATAAAGCTTTTTCCACATTCGTTACATTTATGCGGTCTCTCTCCTGTGGAAGACTTTTTGTGGACGTATGTGACATCATTGAAATTTATCCTTTTTGAAGAGGGTTGTCCTAGTATCTCTTTCATAGGAATTCCCTGCTTTCTATCCAACTTGCCTTGGTGTTCATGGCCTTCTCCAAAATCTTGACCTTGAGAAACATCTCTTTGGATTTTTCCTGAGAGTTCTATGTCTGCTTCTGAAAATTCTGAAATTTTCTTCTTAACATTCAATTTTGTATTCTTACTTCTTTTGTCATTGCCTGGAAAAATAAAGAGGAAATGCAACTGTCATCAGTTCTTTTACAGAAGAAAAATAAACTGTCAGGAAAGAGGATAATCAGATGAAACTATGATGCAATAGGAGTAACAAAGGGGGCTACATGTATTTACTTGATGCCAACAGGAACAAAAAGAACCTTTTGGTATTTATCCAGTGAAAAAACAAGACTAAGGAGAGGCTTGGGGGCCACGCCGGAGGCACAAGCGGTTAAGTGCGCATGCTCCGCTTCGGCGGCCCAGGGTTCGCAGGTTCGGATCTCAGGCGCACACCGATGCACCGCTTGTCAAGTCATGCTGTGGCGGGTCCCATATAAAGTAGAGGAAGATGAGTATGGATGTTAGCCCAGGGCCAGTCTTCCTCAGCAAAAAGAAGAGGATTGGCAAAGGATGTTAGCTCAGGGCTGATTTTCCTCACAAAAATAAAAAAAGAAGAGGCTTGATTAGAAAGGTGGTGAGAATGACTGAGGTTAGGCAGTCATAGGGATAAGCAAAACACTTTTATTATATAGGAAGGAGAGAAAGGAGTTCTGAATTGGGAGTGGAAATGTGGAGGGGATCATTACCCCAACATGAGGTAGGCAGACAGAATGAGATAGATCAGAAATACACAATTGGGTGGTCAGAAATGACATAAAGTGGAAGAATGGGAAGGAAGCAAAGGATTATGAAGGGGCTATGGAGTTGGAAGAATACCTGATTAGGAGCCAAGAAAAAAAAGAAATGAGCCAGTAAAAATATCGTCAAGAGGACGGGTAATATATCAATTCCCGCTCTCTTCACCCTTAGTCAACACTCTAGCTTCAGTTTCCTGCCCACAGCACCCGATACTTCTCCTTTGGGAATGCTCATCACCTTCAGTATCTGCTACTCCCACCAGACCATCAGCTCCACGAGGGCATGAACTGTATCTGTTCTGTTTACTGCTGCATCCCAAGAACTTAGCACTAGAGGCTCTCAATAAATACCGCTGGATGAGCACACAAGGTATTCCTCCTTTGATCAAAAAACATGGAGGGAGGGAGGTCATAAGAACAATTAGTTAATAACTTGTCATAAGAACAATTGCTGGGAAGATATAAAAGAAAAGATACTATTTTAAAGCAATTGCTTTCCAAATCCAGAGTGCTATTGGATGCACTTCCCTAATGAGGCGGCCACCAAGTAGAATGGGGTAGAACTGGCTGAGGAGACAGCTCAGCTCAACCCAGAACTTTAAAGACACTATGAACTTCATAAACTTCTATCCCAAGATGGAAGAGGTGTCAGTGGCGGTGAACATGAATGACAAGTAGCTGGGCTTGGGGACATCAAAGGCATAATTTAAAAATAAAAACTTTGGCCAGTCTTAGAATTTTCTGAAGAATATAAATAAGAGCCTTTAAGTTCACAGCAACAGTTTACGGTGATCTCATCCTTATACAAATCACTTGAAGGGATAAAAAAATAAGTAAACAAGTAGGAAAATTACTCAAACTTATTCATAACCAAATTACCAAAAATGGATATAGCAAAGAATTCTCTTCTGCTTACTCTATTTGTTAAAAAAAATTTTTGATAACCCTGGAAGAAATTTAGTACAACTGATACTCTCATGTGTGGTATGATTGTTTTAGAAAGCAATTTGGCTATATGTATCAAGAGCCATAAAAATGTTTTTGGCTTTTGTCATCCACTAATCCCACTTCCGGGCATCTACTATAAGGAAATAATTCTAAATACATATAGAAAAAGGCATACACTCAGTTATGAGGAAAAAAGAGAGAAAATTAGAAGTTCAACTGGCAAATAGTTGAGTAAATTATGATGTCTCCACACAATGGCAGGTTGTCAAAAATGAAAAACAGGAGGGCAGAGCAACACCGGAAAATGTGTATGTCTAATACTTAATTGTACCCTCTGAGTACACATATATAAAAATAGGCTTATGAAGACAGAAGGAAATACACTAAATAATAATAATTCTACTAGTTGGGATGGTGGGATTATGGATAATCTTTTTTTCTCCCACTTTCTTTCCTCCAAACTTCCTGTTCTATTATTTTATCATTTACAATAAGTGAAATAACTAAATTAGGAAAAGGGAGAAGAGGGAAAGAAGCATGAAAGAGAACCAAAATCCTCATTTACTACAAATGAAGTCAATAAATAACGTCTAAAATTGATGAGTCCAGCAACAGCAGAATTATTTAAAAATATGGAATTACCAGAAGAAACAGGTAAGAGCTGAAAGCAGGTATCTCTGGGGAAAGGGAAGTTGTGGGGATGGTAGAGAGGGCATAGGGTTTTGCCTACTAACTTGACAATGAGTTAAAGTATAAATAATAATAATGAAATAAACTATAATCTTTGCCCCTTCCTACTGCTCCCAGTATCACAATCCATCTGTCCTATTGTTCTAATAAGATAAGTTCTGCCCCCATTTATTCTCCGAATACAAACTCCTAACACATACATCTTTGGGCTTTCTCTCTGAAGTGGCGCTTCAGGTGCTCAATCAGATGGGAGTGCCGGCTGAAGTTTTTCCCACACTCGGTGCATCCATAGGGTCTCTCTCCACTGTGCACGCTGTGATGCTGGACAAGGTGGGAGCTCACACGGAAGGCTTTTCCGCACACCTGACACTTATAGGGTTTTTCACCAGTATGGACTCGCTGATGCTGAGTAAGGTGCACACGCTGATTATAGCTTTTCCCACATTCACCACACTTGAATGGTTTTTCTCCAGTGTGGATTCGCCGATGTTGAATGAAGTTTGAGGCTTGAAGGAAAAATTTACCACAATCGTTACATTTGTGACCTCTCTCGCTGTTTGTGTTTTGCTTACGATTAATGTCTGTGACGGCACCAATATCTCTTTTCTGGGAAGGGCTCTGCCTTGATTTCCCCACAGTGGGGTTTACCTGCCACCTTTCTACCATGCCATGAAGGTCACTAACTTCTCCAAATTCTTGACTCTGGGGAACATTTCTTTCAGTGCCTCCTGATGTCATCCAGTGTGATTCGGCTTCATCAGAAATCTGTTTTACTATGAGTTCCATATTGTCATTCCTGGACTCATAATCTGAAATAATACAAGGAAAAGGGAAAATTAGCTATTCCCTGCATTAGAAGAAAGAAAATGACTGAGGGATATGGGATAATTAAATGAAACCAACATGTGCTAGCAACAAATGACTTTGCAAAGTCATTTGTAAAATGACTTGACAATATAGGGATGGGATAAAGAACATTTAAGCAGGAAACTGAGACAGGTTAGGGAAGAAAGAGCTGGCAAGAATGGTTCAAAGGGATGAGACTGGGAGAGCAGTTATTCTATTTAATGAAGATGATAACCTCTTGGTATGGTACTTACATACAGTACCTGTTTGTGAATACCTGTACAATATTAACTATTCTTAATAAAATTTGTTAATGGGTTATGCAGCTAACCCAGTCTTCACCTTCCTCTTCCTGTTTGTTCAGAGCCTAGAGAAGAAAGAGGATCTTTCTAGCTTTTAAATCCCCAAAGAATCTCAGTATGGTATGAATTAGTCTAAAGGAAAAAAAGGCATTCTTTCCAAACCCAGAGAACCTACCACTGTCAAGAGCTAGCTTTACAGTCAACAGTCATTGACGAATACAGATGTTTAAGAGACTGCATTCAGCTCCCTGTGTAATTGGATTGGCAACATATATTTCACTCAAAACACGTTTAATGTGGTTTGCAGAGACAAATCTTCAGTAATTAACAAAAAATAGGGAATATTATTTTTGAAATGCTAGAGAGATAGATCATGGCCTACTGAGAACTTTCTAATAAAATTTTTTTGTAACCTAATAACAGTAATAAGAGCTAACATTTGCTGAGTGTGTACTGCGGACAAGGCACTACACCCCTAAGTGCTTTACGATTTCGTGGCATTTAATCCTCACAATGACCCTTTGAGGCAGATACTATTACTATCCTTTTTTGAGAAGTTATAATTCTTGTACCATGAAGACAACTCCAATTTTAATTTATAACTATTTTTAGTTAATTCTCCTCCTAAAAAGACATTTTAATAGTGGAAACAAAAAACCATATAAACAAAAAAGTCCTCTCACAAAATGAGACTTTTTACATGTTTGTTCCTCCCCCATTTAACTAGGCAAGTAATCTCAGCTACCAGGGTACTTTTCTCTGTTATCACACCTACTTATGCTCACATGTTTTAAACTTATTAGAATTCTCTCCCATTCGACAAGTCAAACAAACTCGTGGCTTTCTTTTCCTGGGGGTGAATTTGAAAAAAATCAGATTAGCCCAGTGCACCTCTTTGGGGCCATTAACAACTGCCCTTTCCCAGAGAAGGCGATGACACAAGTCGTTATACCAGTCGGCTTACAGGTTTGCTTCGTTCCCCTTTCCCCGCCTCTTCTCCACGTACATGACAAGCTTTCTGCTGATTCTCCTGGTTAATTTGTATATTTGACAGAGAACTGTGCTCCTTGCTCAATGCTATGCCCAGCTGCTTAGTAATGCAGTGTGTGTGTTGGGGGGGCAGGGATAAAAATCCCAATCAGGCAGATTCGGTGCTTTACAAATTCACGCTCTTCAATCTCACCATGTCCTGTCTGACTTTCTATGTTTCTAAGGTTGGCTAGTTTCCCTACTTATTTTTCTCAGCAGCTACATCAAAACATGTCCATCATGATCTCCAAGACATATCATTATATTTAAAAATAGAATAGTGTGTATGGTATGCTATTTTTGCATGAACTTCCATATACACAGAATATGTCTAGTGATACAGTCAAGAAACTGGTAACAGTCACTGCCTCTGTGAAGGACTAGGAGACTGAGGACCAGGGACAGGTGATTCACTCTTCCCTTTATACCCATTTACACTATTTCAGTATTTTTTACTATGTGCATGCATGACCTTTTTAAAACCAGAGTTTTCCACTGCACTCAAACCTCTACTCCACGCCCTGTTCCATCACCTGCTCACTCCCAACACGTGACTTGTCTCCTATTTCAGGGAAAGTCAAAGCTATCCAGTCAAGAACTTGAACATCCTACAACCACAAACTTGCTGGCAGCCTTATTCTTTCATCCTCCCCTTGTTTCATAGTGGAAGAGGTCAATCTATCTAATCAAGGTCCATCCTTCCTCCTGGACCCTGGATCTCACCATGCTGTCCTGTTTTCCAGGGACCTCCCTACATCAATTATCCACTCTTCCTTGCCCCAGTATTTCAAACTCACTCCCTACTAGCTCTTTTCCAGTAGCATTTAAGTACACTTAAAACTGCTCCCACCAAAAAAAAACAGAACACAGAGAAATAATCCATCCATCTAAGCCACGTACTCTTTCAGTGACCAGCTCCCTCTGCCCCTTCACAGACAAAGTTCTTGAACATTTATCTACAAGAGCTTTCTCAAATTTCCTCTCCTTTGCAATCTTAATGAAACTGTCTCTTGTTCCCAAACATCCCAGTCACTCCATGGAAACAGCTGTTTCCAAGATTCCTTTATTTATTTTTTAAAATCTCATTTCTAAATCTGATGGATACTTTTCAAATCTTGACCTTTTCTGATACTATTAGGAACCCATAGGCATGAAAATTATCCAATGTGGCCTTCCCTGAGAAGTTAAGGAGGCAGAAACCACTGAACATATATAGAAGAGTATACTGAAGATGACGCAACGAAGAGATGGATAATGAGAAAAAAAAATCAGAAAGTAAGAATTTAAAACTGCTTGGAGAATGGTAGAGAAAAGAACTGTGCCAATGGCCAACAGGCACATGAAAAGATGTTCAACGTCACTAATTATTAGGGAAATTAAATCAAAACTACAATGAGATATCACCTCACACCCATCAGAATGGCTATTATTAAAAAGGCAAGAAATAACAAGTGTTGGAGAAGATGTAGAGAATGGGGAAACCTCATACACTGCTGGTGGGAATGCAAACTGGTGCAGCCACTATGGAAAACAGTACGGAGAGTCCTCAAAAATTAAAAATAGAACTACCAGATCCAGCTATTCCACTTCTGTGTATTTATCCAAAGAATACAAAAATACTAATTCAAAAAGATATATGCACCCCTATGTTCATTGCAGCATTATTTATAATAGTCAAGATATGGAAACAACCCAGATGCCCATCAACAGATGACTGGATAAAGAAGATGTGGTGTATATATAGACAGTGGAATATTACTCAGCCATAAAAAAGATGAAACCTTGCCATTTGCAACGTGAATGGACTTTGAGGGTATTATGCTAAGGGAAACAAGTCAGATGGAGAAAGACAAATACCGTATGACTTCACTCATATGTGGTAGATAAAAAACAACAACAAACACAGATAAGGAGAACAGATTGGTGGTTACCAGAAAGAATGGAGGTAGGGGTAGGGCAAAAGGGATAAAGGGGGACATTTGTACAGTGACAGATGGAAACTAGACTTTTGGTGGTGAACACAGTGCAGTGTATACAGAAGTCAAAATATAATGATGTACATTTGAAATCTATATAATGTTATAAACCAGTGTTAACTCAATAAAAAAAAAAAAAACTGCCAATAACCTCCAACTCTGAAACCCATTAAACACCCGTAAATTGAAAAATATAAAACAATATTAATAGACTCAAATTAGACAAGTCAGGTATTTGAAATTCAAAAAGAAGAAAATAAAAAGATGTGCATGAAATATGATAATATTTATACTATATAAATAATTCCTTGAGATGAAAGACCACCACTAAGATCCTAATAGATAAACAAGCAGAGGGCATGCACAAGTAAATCAAAGAAAAGGAAATACAAATGCATGTCAATTAATAAAAGAAATGGAAAATTTAAAAGAGCAGCGGTCAATTTTACTTTTTAAATAAAAGCCTATGAGTGAACTAAAATCTTTAGACAATGTAAATTGGTATAATGCTTTTAAAAAGAAATTTGGCATTATACATGTATTTCATCTAAAGTCTGCCACTGTGCTTGATAGACAGTGGTTCTTCTAAAAGAATTCATTCAAAAGAAGCTAAAAGCCATAAGCTCCAAAATGTTTGCCACAGTGCTGAGATTTTAATAAATACTCCAGGCAATACAATCGAATATGTATTAGTTTCCAGGATCATAAGTTAGTTAAAAATAGGTTCAAAACCTCATTTGGGGCAAAAAATCCAAGAAGGGATATGACATGTAAAATGTCGACACCAATAAGGCAAATATCATCAAACACGTATGAGTGATCTGAGAATGGTAATGGAGTGAATAACTAGCCATCCATGCATCAGAGGAAAGGAAAAGAATTAATGCTATTGAGATAGACTGTAATAACTACTATAATGAACGGTTATTCAGCCAAGTCTGAGATGCTTTCATAAATGGGAATTACTCAGTTAAGAATTATTCAATTCATCAAGGAATACAGTACCATGACTGTGGAATTTATGAAAATCCAAACCTGTTAGTTTCAGGCTCTTTTATTTTAAAGTGGTAAAAAGATAACATTTGCTGGATTGCAAATACTATCCCCCAACCATTATCAGTCTTCAATCATACCCTTATTATGATAAAAATAATCAGAATAAGCTGAATAAGAAAAAAAAGCGAAGGCTGATTTACTTTCACAGAAAAAAATAAGCAAAGTCGTAGCAATTAAAACATACATGCTTTTATAGGATGTGCTAGAAATACTCTTTATAACAAAATTTAGATGTCCTAATCCATGCAGATGAAATAATTCTTACCCACGGAAGTAATACTCCCATAATTCTCCTTCCTGTCATCCCTACAGAGGGACTTCTGGGACTGGTCCAAATGTCCCCATTCCTCCAGGATGAAGGACACAGCCACATCAGCCACATCTTCAATTTTCACCAACTTCTGAAACATGAGATCTCCACTAAATTCCCATTCCCTATGTTCAAATTTGGAGTAGGGGGAAGAACTGGGAGCATTACAGAAAGAAACAGGGGAGGGACTATGCTTCAGAGAGGATGGGAGGGAAGGTACTGGGGAGAACGGAAAAAGACACTGAAGTACAAACCCAAGATGGGCCCGGTCTCTGGTGAAAGAGACAGAACTCCTAACAAAGATTCAGGATTAAGGCAGCTACGTGTCCAAGAACAGACATGGGTCCTCACTGCGGGCAGGGATGTCAGCTCACCTGGGACCCAGCTGAGAGAAGTGAGGCTGTCAACTCCTGGCTGTCCTTCAGGGGAAGAGAAGGAACTTGGAGAGCAGGAAGGGCTGAGGGGGCAGAAAAAGAGGTGTCAGTGAGAACATCTCTGCCCAGTTCCAATTGCCACCATGTTCCACTTTTGCTCAAGAATCCACAATGGGGCCCTGCGGCATCAAGGCCAAATTCTTCTGCTTGGCTCTCAAGACCCTCTACATTCTGCCCCCTCTCACACCTATGCTACACTCACACTTCTCAAACACTAGACTCCCTACTTCGGTCAGGCTAATCCCTGCTGCTGACCTCAGATTGTGTCATCTCCTGCAAAGGATGCACTGTGCTCTGCCAATCAAACCTAACCCTCTCAAAGAATACCCCAAGTCCCACATCTCTCATGAAGCTGAAGCACGGCCTAGAGCCCAGGGCTTCTCGAGCTTTAATGTGCAAACAGATCACCTGGGGGCTGGGTACAGGGCAGATTCTGGCTCAGTAGTCAGGGGCGGCCTCCATATTTTGCATTTCTTTTTTTTTGTGTGTGTGAGGAAGATCAGCCCTGAGCTAACATCCATGCCATTTTTTTTTTTTTTTTTTGCTGAGGAAGACTGGCCCTGGGCTAACATCCGTGCCCATCTTCCTCCACTTTATATGGGACGCCGCCACAGCATGGCTTGACAAGCGGTGCGTCGGTGCGCGCCCGGGATCCGAACTGGCGAACCCCGGGCCGCCGCAGCAAAGCGCGCGCACTTAACCACTTGCGCCACCGGGCCGGCCCCAGTAGTTTGCATTTCTAAGAAGCTTCCAGGCAATGCTGCTGCTGCTGCTCCCTGGACCACATTTTGATTAGCAAGCCCTTAGTCCACATTCTCTCCCTTCAAGGAATTACCATGGTTGGTTTTTAGTCAGCCATTTAGTACGTATTAAGTCTACTCTGTGTGTTATAAGAATAGGCAGATAAAACAATTCTTGCCTTCAAAAACTTCACTGTCTAACGGGGAGGGCAGATATGTAAGCTGTTCCTACTTCCAGCTCAGGGTAAAGACTACTATAACTGAAATTCACCCAAGTTCCCATAAGAACACAGAGGCAGGGCACCTACAGAGTGGAGAAGGGGAGGCAGAGCATCAGGAAAGCCTTTCGACAGGCAGTGACTCTGGGAAGTAGGGGTAAGGTGGGGCAGGGATGAGGGTACTTTCCAAGCAGAACGAATCAAGTGTGCAACACCTAGAGGGTCTGATCTCTAGAGGCTGGTGACCATCTGACCCTCTGCTGTCACCTCTGCTTGTTCTTTGCCCAAGATTCATGGTGCATCTAGCTCTCACTGTCTATGTGTGCCCTGACTTGGACAGTTCCACTTGGTATTAATCTTTAACCTGACAGTTTAGATCTTGCTATGGCTTCCCCAGTCCTGGAGCTATATGTGCACATGCAGCCTGCTTGTTTCCGAGGACTAGGAAGTAATGAGCAATGACACAAAAAGTAGGAAACAACAGTTAGAGATGAAAGCCAAAAACAGAGACCGGATGTGAAACCAGAAGTGTGGCTGAAGAGTCAAAAGGGGACTCGAAGAAAGGGATGAATCTAGGGGCCGGCCCCCTGGTGTAGTGGTTAAGTGCACGCGCTCTGCTGCTGGAGGCCCGGGTTCGGATCCCAGGTGCGCACCGACTCACCGCTTGTCAGTCCATGCTGTGGTGGCATCCCACATAAAGTGGAGGAAGATAGGTATGGATGTTAGCCCAGGGCCAGTCTTCCTCAGCAAAAAAAAAAAAAAAAAAGAGGAGGATTGGCATGGATGTTAGCTCAGGGCTGATCTTCCTCACAAAAAAAAGAAAGGGATGAATCTAGTCTCTATCTAAGCAAACAGTAATTTTGTTGGAATAAAGAAACTTACTAGGTCTGGCTACCAGGGCAGAGAAGAGAAGCAGCACATAGGAAGAGAAGAAAAGAACAGCTTGATCTGAGGAGACTCTGAGAGTGAACGGAGGATGACAGTGATTTAGGGAGGGCAGGATTCTGTGCTGGGAGAACCTGGTGGGAAAGCAAAGCCAGGACAGCTCAGATTGGGGTAAAAGTATAGGCTGAGAGCCGGACTCCTTGGGCTAAAATCCCAGCACTGTCACGTAATAGCTTTGTGACCTTGGACAAATTACTTAACTTTTCTAGGCCTCAGCTTCTTAATTTCTGACATTTTTTAATATTAGAAATTATCCTGATATTAATAGGATAACAATAGTATCTATTCCATTAGGTTAGTGTGAGCATTAACCCTTGGTATGCCAACTAGGTCTATGTGACATAATTTTGCGTTTTGGGTTTCTTTTTGGAATAGTTTTAACTATTTTTAAAGACCAGTATTACTTGACTTTTACTCTTTTAGAGGTTTTCTGAAGAACAAAAAGAAAACATTTTAGTATTATTAAAAATAGAATAAAACTCATTCTATCTTGTAATTTCTATATGGATCCCATGGACCCTTTTACAAATCTAGGAAACATTTTGGGACCTGAGTGATCTTATTTTCTCTTGTATCTTGAAACATTTTTCTATTTCATCATCCTAGGAATTATTTCACTTATACTAATCATTATTCATTAATTATTACCAATGATACCACAAAAGACTAAAAAAATAAGAAAACGGGAGAATAAAGGAAATATTGAGGATCATACACTAGTGCAATAAATCACCATTCTTCACTCTTCTCAAAGTATGGAATGCACCACCCAGAGGGCTGCATCATCATCAAGAAGGCATAAGACTGTTGACATCTGCTTTTAGCTTTCATTAAGCATAGTTAAGAATTCAGAGTTTTTCATTTTCCACCCATATCAGCAAAGAGAAGAAAATCTGCAGTGGAAGATGTTTCACTATTATTAGATGAATGAGAAGATGGTGTAGAGAGACAGAGAGCAACAGACTCTCTAATGATAATGATGAAACTGCAAGTCTAAGGGAAATCTAAGAATGAATCTACAAATGATAGTATCCTAGATGAATTTTCTCAAACACAAGAATCAGTGATGAACACTGTCTTGCTTATTTTCAAAAGGAAATATAATATTCTCATCCAGTGAGTCATTCAATAGGAAGGACTTCATCACGCAATATTTTGCAACAAGATTCTGGACCATCTCATTTTGCTAAAAGAACAGCATTCGTTTTGTTGAAGTGACAGTATGCTTCCATCTTTTATGATGTTTGTATTATCAAAATGTACTTGATAGAAAGAGGCTTAATTCTTATTAAAATTTCTTTAAAAATTATTTTTCACTATCCTTTGATTCTTCTGCAAATCATTCATAAAATGAGTTAAAAACATAAAAAAAACCTTAAAAGGATCCATTGGCCCCAGACAGTAAATGGTGAGGGTTAAATGACTTCATACAGGTAAAGCCCAAGAACAGCTCCTGACGCATAGTAAGCACCACGTAAGTAATAGCTGCTGCTGCTGCCCCTGCTTTTGTTATCATTACCACAGGGCAGGAAGGCTGGAAATGATCAGAGCCATGGGGCATGTCAAGTGAAAGACCTGATCACTAAGGGGAGCCTAAAAGAAAGCCTGTGGCCAAACAGGAAATGCAAGTTCACAGCTCCTTATCCACAATTCTGACATCCCAAAGGTCTCAATACCAAAGGGTTTTTTTCATTAAGTTAGACATTGAACTAATCTGACTGCAAAAGCTGACCTGATGTGACACCACTTAAAGTTATTTAAATCCACTTACTGAAAATATGCATACATTTCACCGCTGAAATACTAATTGTGTGTGATTACAGGGTACCACCTCAAATCCTGCTGGTGGTGTAATGTATGGACTATAAATCATGTTGTCTTACTAAACCTGAAAAATTCTGAATTCTAAAATATACCTGATAGGGGCCGACCCCAGTGGCCTAGTGGTTAAGTTTGGTGTGCTCCACTTCAGCAGCCTGGGTTCAGTTCCTGAGTGTGGACCTACACCACTTGTCAGTGGCCATGCTGTGGCAGCGGCCCACATAGAACGTAGAGGAAAACTGGCAACTGATATTAGCTCAGGGAAGATCTTCCTCCACACAAAAAAAAAAAAAAAAGAAAAAAAACAACAGTGGGTGACAGCCCAGTGGTGTAGTGGTTAAGTTCGCATGCTCTGCTTCAGCAGCCCAGGGTTTGAGGGTTCGGATCCCAGGCACAGACCTACACACCACTCATCAAGCCACGCTGCGGAGGCATCCCACATACAAAATAGAGGAAGATTGGCACAGATGTTAGCTCAGTGACAATCTTTCCCACAAAAAAATAAAAATAAAAATAAATAAAATATATCCGATAGCAAGAGTTTCTGATTGGGGATTACAGACTTGGACACATATCATCGTAAATAAGACACTCAGCTGTTCAGTTTTCCTTGATGTATCTAATACAGATTAATAAAATTATGAGAGAGAGGGAGGGAAGGAGATAAAAAGCAAATGCTCTCAAGGTCATTGTGAAGCACTGCTTCAAACAAGATTTCAAGGTGAATGACTGAGCAGCCAGAATTGAATGCAATTAGGAATTGGAGAGCTTTTTTTTTACATAAGCATTAAGACACCAAAATCTATGAGGCAGAGTTGGAAACTGTTGCAAACAATTGTGATACTTTTATAAAAGATTTTTGTAGATCTTTTTTTTTTGGATCAACCCTGAGCTAACATCCATGCCAATCCTCCTCTTTTTGCTGAGGAAGACTGGCCCTGGGCTAACATCCGTGCCGATCTTCCTCCATTTTATGTGGGACGCCGCCACAGCATGGCCTGACAAGCGGTGCATCGGTGCGCATCCGGGATCTGAACCCGGGCCACCAGAAGCAGAGTGTGCGCACTTAACTGCTATGCCACAGGGCCGGCCCCAATTTTTGTAGATCTTTTAACAGTGCCTGTACTTACAACTGTCATCATCTGCATTATAGCTTCTGAATAGAACTGTGGTACAGTTTCTAGCCATCCTATAAGCGGATCTCTCTCTCAACCCCAGGGACTCAATTCCAGGTCCTCAGCCATTCTCATGCTCCCGATGCTGCCAGTGCAGAGAGACCTCCCAGCCCAAGTTTCTCTCTTACAGATACTGCTTACCCATGTGGCCAGGGTACCCACTCTCGAGCCACATCTGCTCCACTGAATCACAGATCCTCACCATTTTCCTCCAGAAGATGAGGCTTCTGTGGCTCTTGTTCAGGCTGGGGGTCCACGGACAGGAGCTGGTGACTGAAGGACTCCTGCACAGCTCCAGGTGGCACCATCTTCTGAGGAAGGACTTCAGGACATGCCACAATCTAACAACCACAACCACACCAATCAGCATGGTTAGAGAGAAGGCTATGAAAGAATCCAGTAAGTTCACGTTATTCCTTCATTCATTCCTTTGCCAAATATTTAATGTGTGTCTACAATGAGCCAGGTGCTGATTATACAGTGGCTTAATAAACACGGTTTACATCTAGTTGGAGAAGACTTCCATTAAACATATCAACACAAAAATAAAGACATAATTACAAACCATGTTATATGTTAGGAGATGAAGGTGGTGCCATGAGACAGAACAGATGAGACTTACTTTATATTGCCTGGCTGAGGAAGGCTTTTCTGAGGAAGCATCACTTAAGTAAACAACTAAAGGATGAAAGAAGCCAGCCAGGAGAAAAGAAGTGTCCCAGGCAGAGAGAACGACATAAACAAAGACCCTCAGGCAGAAACTGGGTGTTTGGTACAGTCAAGGAACTATAAGAAGGCCAGTGTGGGGCAAGTTTAGTGAAGAGGGGAGAGAGGTGAGAAAGGACATTAGAAAGGTCGATATAGGACTCAGGAAGCCACACTCGGCTCCTTGGCAGACCAGGTTCAAGTAGGACAGACCAACACCAAGACCTGAGCTAGTTCATGTCCGGCATGCTACAGTTCTCCACCGTTCTGTTGTTGGCTCTTGCTCAACCCTAGGCTCTGCCACAACCAGTCTCTAGAATCTGCCTATTCTGGAAGGTACTAGCTCAGTAGCACCCTAGCAGGTAATAAGAACCTGCATTGAGATAGAACTGCCATTCTCCCTCTCCCCCTCGCTTATGTTTCAAAGTACTTTAAATTTTAACCCTCCTAGTACTGGCAAAATATGGCACAGGAGTTACATTAAGAGGCAGCTGCAGAAGAGGTGTGGCAAATAGCACTCTGCATGGAAGTTTGTGTGTCCTTGTAGACCAGACCAGAACAAGAGTTAAGATGATGCCAAGTAAGTCAAAGGGCATCTGAGCACCAAAGAAAGAGAGCAGGCCTTGAGGTCCTCTGAGACTAGGACAGAGACACCAAGGAGGAGGGGTAAAGGATAAAGCCCGGGAAACAGGCTTGCCAGAGACAAGAACTGCCTGGAGATACGTTGAAGAACAACGTCGGGGATACAGAAGGCAGGCAGAGAGAAAGACAAACAGAGTTAGCTGTGGAGGCCCTCGGGAAGATCCCCTCTATGGGCCTCAAATCCCTGACTACCACTAAGAAATATTTTCTTCCGTGTCCCTTCCAAAAAGAGGCTGCATATCACAATCAGAGAGGTAAATGTGTCAGATCTGTTGTAAATCCTCTATTTTAAATATTCCTGTTGTTTTAAACTATGCTTTTGAATATTTATTACTATAAAAAAGTAGCAAAAAGCTTGTCCATTAGCATCTCAAATTAGGTTAACAAAAGGAATAACTGGATGTCACCATGAACCTGCCTGTCCTGACAGAAGTAACAAAAAGGTTCACACACTGCTCTCTGCAGGACAAGCATTCAACACAGCTGCAGGGTCCCTCTGCTGCCCACTTGCATTATGGAGTGAGCTAAACCAGCTAAAGAGCCTGAGGATATTCTGGAATGTTCAAGTACCCCTTACCCAGAGGTGAAGAAGAAAGAGACTGGTACCTTCCACCGAAGTGCAATGGCTCTAAAGAATGAAGAAAATTCTCTAACTAGCTTCAAACTCTTGTAGACCTAAGACAACGTCATTTTTGTTTCTTTGCTATAAAAAAAAATTAAAGTTTAAGAGACTGTGGGCCTACAGCAAGAGGAAAGTAGCAGGTCAGGTTATAAATGAGAAAGAAAGGACAAGAAGACATAACACAAAAATATCAATCCTCCCTAAATTAACACATGATTTACAGCAATCCCAACAAAAACACCAACAGGATTTTTGGGGTGCCAGAAACTAAATAAGTAATTCTAAAGTTCATAAAGAAAAAAGAAAATATCGAAAAAAAATTTAGAAGGGAGAAGAGTAGTCTTATCAAATACCAAAACATTTTACAGACCTCAAATAATTAAAATACTGATACATGGACAGTAAGATCAAAAAAAAGACCAGAAATGGACCAAAACACATGCAGAAATTTGGTACATAATAACGATGGCATTTTAATCAGATAGTTTAAAAAAAAAAAAAGAAGTTGCTGGGGCAATTGGATAGACATCTGCAAAAAAAATAAAATTGTAACCATATAAAACACTCTACACCAAAATAAATTCTAGATGGAGCAATCATCTAAAAGTGTAAAAAAAAACCCACAGTGGAGAAAAAACTATGAGAAAAGTTTCTCATAACATTGTAGTGGAGAAGGCCTTTCTAAGTATGGCACAAAACCCAGAAACCATAAAAGATTTTAAACTGATTGCATAAAAATTTTTAAAAACCTGCAAAGCAAAAATCTCCATAAGGAAAAACAAACAACAAACTGGAAAAATAAGACTTGCAACTCAGATGACAGACATACTGCTTATTTTTTCTAATAGGTAAATAATATTAACAGATAATTCACAAAAAAGGGTATATGCATAGCTCTTTAAAATATGTACTGTGGTCAAACTCATTCATAAGAGAAATGCATATTAAAATTGCATAGAAATGAAATATCGCATCTTTCAGATTGGCAATAATCAAAAAGTTTGATAAGATCATGTTATCAGGCTGTGGGCAAAAAATTTCTCTCACACATTGCTGTTGGGAATATAAATTGCTATAATCTCTATAGAGGGCAATCTGTCAACAGCTGTCAAAAGTACAAATGCATACGGCCTCTAAGCCAACAATTTGACTCCTACAATTAATAATTAATAATGTACGTAAAAGATATTCATTGCAGCAAAGTTTGTTATAGTAAAAATTCAGAAACAATCTAAAGGAACAACTTAAATGGCCTTCAATAGGAGTCAAATAAATTATGGGCAGCCATACAATGGAATAATGCAGTTTCAAAGAGTGAGGCAGCTCTATTTGCACCAACATGGAACAAACCAAGATATAAGAAAAAAGCAAGCGGCAGAAGTGCAATGATTTAAAGACATCTGTTTTTTTAAAAACGTGTCATATACACATAGGCTTATGTATACAGAATACAGTATCTCTCCATAAGGATATACAAATATATGTCACAGTGGTTGCCTCTGGTGAAATCTAGGCAGCTGGGGAATTAAGGGTGGGAGGGAAACTTACTTTTCATTACAACCTTATGTACCTTTTGAATTTTGTATCATGTCATTCAAAAAACAAATACAGTAATTTTAAAATAAATAAAATCGCAGATTGTCTTCTCCAGGTTAACACACTGGATACTGCTTCTCTTTGCTGGAGTGGCAGGAAATCTCCACAGTGTACCTAATCCCAGGAGAACAAAAGAATATGAATGAAGCACCAGACCGCTAAGGATCTCACCCCTGCTCAGCAGTTCCTTAACTCTCTTCCTCTCCTTCCTCATTGCTCTAATGTCTCCTCTTCCACTCACCTGTTGTCTGCGTTCCTCTAGTTCTCTCTGTATATTTTCTACCACAGCCACAGCCTCTTCTCCGCTTTCCGGGTGATGTTCTCTCACCCAAGTCTGGAACTCTTCTGGCAGGATGGTCAGGAACTGCTCCAGCACCAGCAGCTCCAGGATCTGCTCCTTGGTGTGCAGCTCGGGCCTCAGCCACTCACAGCAGAGCACCCGGAGCTGGCTCAGCGCCTCCCTCGGGCCTGATGCCTCATGGTACTGGAAGTCCTTGAAGCGCTGGTAAAAAGTCTCAAACACTGGCGGATTGTACTCCTGCATCCAGGTGCAGTCTTCTTCTTCCACTTTCACTATTAGAAGGTCTTGCTCTTGTGAAGTCTCAGCTGGAGGGTCTAAGTCTATACCTTCCCCAGATTCTGTCATTATCATTCCAACTCAGAGGGATGTCTCTCCAGGTTAGCTGTATTACACTGACCAAATTTGTCTCCTGCTCTTTAAGATCTACTGAAGGACGCTTTCATTAGTGTGCAACCTACTGATATATTGAAAATCATTATTAGCAAAGAGATGACAAAGAGGTCATCTATACTAAAAATGACCACTCAACAGAGCAATTTTTTTGAAAATATGCACTACAAGACAGCCATTACTCCACCCATAAGACAATTGCTAAGAGAATATTCCATTTAAAAAAATGTAAAGGAGAGCCATAAAAATCTGACATCAGGCCTAACCAAACACAATTTTAGTGATGAAGAACATTAAATGTCATATACATAATAGGACAAGACTTATTAACTAGTCCAGACACAGCCGCTCCTTCTCTCTACAAGCCAAACTTAAGTCAAAACAGGAGTCAAAAACATTACAATGGTCAAAACTGGTCCTGTCCTTCAAGCCACAAGACCTTGACAGACCAACGGGAGACTTCATCGGTCCGGAAGAGAAGTAGGGTTACAAGTACAGATTTGGACCTGGATTCCTGGAAATCGCCCCTGACCCCGAGACACGGGACCGGCCCGGTCAAGGTTAGGGACAGGACCCTCGGCCAGACACAAAGCCCATTCCCTATCCTCAAGGCTTCTGTCCCGGGGAGCTCTCCTGGAAGACCACGCTCCCGCAGCCAAGGCTGGGAAGACGGGTTTCTGCTTACAAACCGAGAAACAACCGAAGCCGACACTTCGCAACACTTCCTCGCCGGAAGTAAGCAAGTCCAATCTTTCCCAGTCCAACCAGGTTGGGCCATAAATCCCACCCCCGAGATCACTTCCGAGGCCTCTCTAGGAATCCCGGAGGTCTTCGCCTCACAGCGGGCGGGAGCTGCCCGCCCCAGGCCCCGCCCCCGGGCCCGCCTCCTAGGGGGTACGGACCAATCGGCGGGGGGGGCGCTGGCCTGGGATCCACCTCCCGCAACCGGGCCGTTTCCCGCCCACCGAGCCGCAGGGTCAGCGTCACTAGAAGGGGAAGAAAACCGAGCCACGCTCTTCCCCACCCCACCCCAAAGCCATTTAAAACGGTCCGAGCTCCGCCCCTTTCCTTAGAGTGGGGGCAGAGGGCGGGGCCCCAGGTGTCTGGAGCGGTTGCTAAGGCAACAGTCGTTAGTGTCTCATTGGCCGTGGAACTTGCGCTTCCCCACCCCCAACGCTCTGCGCCCCAATTCGAAGTAGGTCCCTACCTCTCTGGAAACCCGCAACCCTCACTTTTCTTTAATTTTGGACCCTTAGGTTTCTTCACCTGAATCCTCGCCACTCCCTGCACCCTGTCTGCAGACACACCCACGTCCTCACCACCGCAGTCAGCTCACGAGGCCGAAACCTCAGACAGCAGACCTGCGAGCCGCGGGAGCTAGCAACTCCCGAGACTATATCTCCCAGGAAGCCCCGCGCGGGCCACGCCCACCAGCCAATAGGACCGCGGCTCTCTTTGCAGCCTCGGTCTCGCGGGCCTATCAGAATACGGAAGAGCAGGAAGGCGGTTCCTCTAGTGCCTCCGACTGGAAGGATGTGTGTGTCGGAGCTGGTGACCCTCCCGGCTGGTGAGGGTAGGGACGGAAGCCCCGCATCCCTGCGAAGAGAGGGGAGTCGTCTACGCAAGCCTTCTCTAGCAAAGGGGATCCCATCCTTAATAATCTCTCATTGTTATATCCGTTTGCAAAGCTGTTCGACAGGCAGGACAAGAGCCGCTATCGCCACTCTTACACGTCGCGAAAATGAGGCTCGCCGGCTCCACTCTGAATCAAAAGACGCACATCCTTGGACATTCCGCGAGAGTTATTTTTTAGTGTATGGGATGAATTTTCACTCAAATCAGGGATGGGGTTTTGAGAATATCTTGCTAGCTCTGTGGTGTACCCTATCAGAAAATCCCTTACTATCTCCGAAGAGACTTTTAGCTTAAATTAACACTGCTACATGTTTGGTGCCTTGTAGTAGTTGTATGGTTTCACTTTTTACGCTTAAACTTTGCATAGTTTCACTTTTAAACGTTGGGTCGTTGGTCCATTCAAAATACTCTTGGTGTGTGGTATGAAGTCTATATCCAACTTTATTTTTTTCCAAATCACTACCCAGTTGTCCTAACACTTATGAAAAAGTCTATCTTTACCCCAATTGGTTTGTGATCCTGCCTTGGTCGAGTAATAAATTTGCATATGTTTTGTGGTCTGTTCCTAGATTTTCTGTTCTGTTGCTTTGGTCTCTTTGTCTACACATGTGATAATACCATGCTGTTTTAATTTACTGAGGATTAATAACTGGTTTTAATATCACTTAGGGTGAATGTCCCCAATTGTGTTTCTTTTTCAAAGTATTCTTGCTTCTTTATTTTCTCCAAATTAACTTTAGATTCACTTTTTCTAGTTAAGATTTCTAGAAAGAAATCAGTACTGTGATCATTTATAATTTATATTAACTGAGGGAGACTGGACATCCGTACAAAGTCGATTTACCTGGGGCGGCCCCATGGCTTCGTGGTTAAATGCGCGCTCTCCCTACTGGCTGCCCGGGGTTCGGATCCTGGGCGCGCACTGACGCACTGCTTGTCGGGCCAAGCTGAGGCAGCGTCCCACATACAGCAACTAGAAGGATGTGCAACTATGACATACAACTATCTACTAGGGCTTTGGGGAGAAAAAGGGATTTAAAAAAAGGAGGATTGGCAATAGATGTTAGCTCAGGGCCAGTCTTCATCAGCAAAAATAGGAGGATTGGCATGGATGTTAGCTCAGGGCTGATCTTCCTCACAAAAAAAAAGAAAAAGTTGATTTTCCGGAAAAAAGCCTTATGTTAGATACTTCAGGAATGTTTTAAAAGTTTTCTTCGTATAGGTTTTGCACATATCTTGTTATATTTATTTCTAAGACCTTTATCTTTTTTTGTTAATATTGTGACGTGGGTTGGTCTAGTTTTTTTTTTTTTAATTGATGTTTTAATAGTTTATAACATTGTGAAATTTGGGTTGTACATTTTTGTTTGTCCATCACCATATATATGTCTCCCTTCACCCCTTGTGCCCACCCCCTACCGCCATTGCCCCTGGTAACCACAATACAGTTTTCTCTGCCCGTGTGTTGGTTTATATTCCACATATGAGTGAGATCATACAGTGTTTGTCTTTCTCTTTCTGGCTTATTT